TACCACCGTTACCTGAACCCGGGACAAGCGGTACAGTAGGTAATGGATTGATAATTAACGATTTTAGTCCAAGATACTGATAAGTATAGATACCTATTTCTCAAATATTTTGATTCAATTTCAAACAAAATATTAAGTACATATAAAAAAGTTATTCTGTGAACTAAATACTGAAAATTTTCTCTGAAATAAATGTAAATAAATACCTTACTTTAACACAAAAACACAAGTTAAACTTCCATCCATCCATTTTCCAACCCGCTTATCCTACTGGGTTGCGGGGGGTCCGGAGCCTATCCTAGAAGCAACGGGCACGAGGCGGGGAACAACCCTGGACAGGGGGCCAGCCCATCGCAGGGCACACTCGCACACCATTCAGTCACACATGCACACTTAAGGGCAATTTAGCAACGCCAATTAGCCTCAGCATGTCTTTGGACTGTGGGGGGAAATAATTCCTTAAGTGATATTCAGAGATCTTATCAAGGTCATCTAACTTATATTTATAGTGAAATTTACTAAGCCTCTGAATTACTTTTTATGGTGTAGGTTGGTTTGCTTTCACACTTCTGCCCAGTTCATCCCAAACCATTGGATTATGAACTAGCTTTGGGAAAATCCAAGCTCATGGATCTGGCTCTGTGATCCATTACAGAAAAACCACAAATTAAGCATGACAAAATAATTGCCTTGACAGGAATGGTCTCACCATAAATTAATAAAACTACACAGCTAGTCTGAACATTGTGTATTTATTGCACAACATAAATGTTTTTCCATGTATGCAGTTCTGATAAATAGAATGAGATGGAACATGCTTATCAGTTTGTTCCTTATTACTAATAAAGATTAAAAGATTGTCTAGGACCAAATATTTCCTTACAGTAGTTGTAAGGAAGTCCCGATATTAAGATGTATTTCACTATAATATTACAATTATTAGAAATATTTGAAGTATTAGAAATATTGTTTTGTGTGCTGATTACAGTATTTTGAGGAAAATGTACACTTTGCTTTGTTTCTTTTATATGTGTTTTCATGTTGTGAGATGGATGAATTAATGAAGTAGACATAAAACAATATTACATTTTAGACTGCACTCTTAGCAGACAATGTTTACAAAATAAATCTTCCCAATTACAGTTCAAATAACAGTTCTTGTCTTCAGTCCAATTTATGATCCAACGTGCTGATTTTAATTATTATAGATAGAAAAGAAGAGAAGCTTTCACTGTTCAGATATGAGCCGCGGGACTCTTCATAGGTGATGGTCGTCTGAAAGCAGACTTTCACTGATTGGATATTGTTATGGCTTTGTGCCACATGCTACCTGGGTCTCGGTCTATGGTCTTGGTCTCGGATCCGTCGGTCTTGTCTTGGTCTCGCTGTCTTGGTCATGCTGTCTTGGTCATGCTGTCTTGGTCATGCTGTCTCAGATCTACATAGTGGTCGGGAGATTTGGAGCGAAAAGTATCTGACACACAACGTAACGTTCCATAATGCAACATTATTATTATTTCGCCTTTCGCGCCCTTCAAATGCAACCAATCAATGACATACTTGCATTTTGTTGTGATTCAGACATTGGCGCTCATCCAATCAAAATACGCGTTATACGCGCAAAATAAGTGTAGCGCTTGTTAAACGTCAGTTAAATGTAGGGCTGCACGATTTGGGGAAAATATCGAATCGCTAATTTTCTGACAGGAATTGCGATTTAATTTTTTTATGTCAAGCTTCAGTTCAATATTCAGTGTGTAGTAATTTTAAAACATGACGCAGCATGAGATACCATCGATCAGTATTGAGTATAGGCTATTAACTGGTCTACGTTCTAATGCAAGGATGAGAATTTAAAGATGTGATGTGTAAAGTTAAATAAAGTAATAATGAAAACAATTATAATATTAATATATTATAATAATTATATTATACTTATTATTATAATAAAAATACCGATCTTGCAGCTAGGTAATTAACGCTTAATTATTACCCTCCTAATAACACTAGAACCGCCTTTTCCCACGCCAATGAAAAAGCAAGAACTACTTCGGTGTATGCAGCCCTTTTGTTTGCGCTATTGTGTTGTTAAATGCTGTTATTGACACTAATAACACTCAAAAAACCATAATATTCATAACAGAGTGGCTGTTCTGTCCTGAAACCGTAAAGCTGGAAATTTTTAAACGTAGTATGCATTTTATAAAATGCTGAATAAATAGAAGTCGTTTATTGGTGATTTCATGTTGGTCGAAGTTTCCGATTTTTGGCAACTATACGGTTATTTTCTATACAAATCAATTACGGTGAAACAAAAAATGTACGTGTTCATGGTTACAAACTCTTTAATTCAGACTCTCACGCAAGAAATCTTACGGCAAATCTATATTCCATTCAGAACTTAAATTAGCTGCATTAAAAACGTTACTGCATGCAGTTTGCAAACCTTACAGACTATTTGCACGGTAATAAAACTACATACTGTACATGTAAATGTGTGTGCAGAACAGAGAACAATCTCACTCCATGCAGCTGACCAAAATTGCCAACCCTGCATTTTATTTTAAATGAGAAGTAAAATGCAGCTTATCATTCCTTTGCTTTGTTACTCGGACAAATACAAAACGAATGATTAAACATTATATGCGTCTCTTTTTCTATGTTTTCTAAATAAGACCGCGTGCCCATACCCAACTGTAATAGCGATTAAAGCGATCTATTATTTTAGTATTTATGTTAAAGCAAGACTTTTATTTTATTACTGTTGTGTTGGAAACACTTAAATTTAATAAGCACAAAAACATGACATAAACACGACTGCATTGTGGGTTTTACGGCTTTTTTGGAGATCACCGACTCCGCTGCTCTGAAAATTACTGACTGTCTCGTTGTTTTGATGGGTTAGCGGAATATATATGTGCTATTGCCTATTAACAAAAACCAAAGGTATGATACGCTGAAGAATATTGCAGCTGGTGTTTAAAAGGAGCACGCCGGTTCTATTGATGATAGGACCTTTCTGAAACAATCTCAGACCATGATATAGAAAGGCAATTCACTTATAGCTCAGTAGCGGAATCAGTATTTTTCCCCACCGCGAATGTAACATTTTCCTTGGGTTTCACGTGTTTGCTGTTTGTGGGCCTATACGCCTTCTTGGGCCACTTCTGATTGGTGAGCATGACTGGCACGCTAGAAGCACGGCGCTTGTGATTGGTGAGAATGACTGTCACACAGGGAGCACGGAATGAATTTCTCACAGCAGGGGGTGGCATGGTGATGCAGTGGTTAGCACTGTTGCTTCCTACCTCTGGGACCAGGGTTCGAGTCTCTGCCTGGGTTACATTTTGTGGAGTTTGCATGTTCTCCCCGTGTCATCGTGGGGTTTCCTCCGGGTACTCTGGTTTTCCCCCCACAGGTGTGTGTATGTGTGTGCCGTGAAATGGGCTGGCCCCCGATTCAAAGTTGTTCCCTGCCTCATGCCCATTGCTTTCAGGATAGGCTCCAGACCCCCCACGACCCAGTAGGATAAATGGATGGATGGATGGATGGATGGATGGATGGATGGATTCTCACAGCAGTTTTAAATCCTGGGTCCGACGTGCTGTATAATGTATATCCTAAATCGCAATTTTTGCAACTTTTTTAAACTGTTGTAAATCACGATTTCAATTTGAAATCGATAAATCGTCCAGCCCTAGTTAAATGTGTAATCACATGCCACTGCAGACATCAAGATGGCAGAATCTTTTAAGCACTTGTCCTTATTATTAGGGATGCACCGATCCACGTTTTTTCACTTCCGATCCGATTCCGATACCTGAATTTGGATATCTGCCGATACCGATACTATTCCGATACCAGATTTTATGAGGCTGTAATAAACTTCTCTACAAGCAAGTCTATGAATGAGGTTAGAAAACGGCAGAAATCCCATCCTGAAAACAAATATGCAACTTTAAGGGTTTAAATGGATATTTATTTAAATTTCAAGACAGGATTACTAGATACTAGTGCAATATACACCATCAAAGAAACAAACCCTGTCATATGAATTAAACAGCACAGATATAAATCACCACTAGGCAGCAACACAGTGCTTTTTCAGGTGTTAAATTATATTTGTAGTGTTGAACGTCGCGACGGAGGTTCCACCTCTCGGAACAAGGGCTTTGCAAACATTGCACGTTGCTGTCTTACTTTGCGTTTCGACCGTAAAATGTTTCCACACAGCGGACATGTTGTATGGCGCTCAATGCTAAACTGCTACCTGCAAACTGCAGAGGATTTCCTGAAAGGAGGCGTGTCATCTCTCTCAGTGTCTCATTGGAGCACAGACACGTCACCTAGCCCGGGATCACTTGTGAAGTCATTTCAGCAGACAGCATTGTAGACATAACTCTGGATCGGAAATTTCTCCAGGTTGGATCAGAAATTTCCGATCCGTTAATTAAGCTGGTATCGGAACCCGATACCGATACTGGATCGGATCGGCCCCATCCCTACTTATTATTATTAATGCACATTTTGATATGCAGTTTGAATTGGTATATAGTATTTGTAGTTTGCATTTGATTCATGTGACGTGTGCGCATGTCTTTATATTGTTCGATTACAGTATTTTATTTAAAATGGTGTTGTTTGACTAAATAAATGTGACCATTGACTTTTAAATAACATCTGCATATCACGTTGTGTTGACTTAGGCCTAATCCATTTCAGGGATGTTGATATCATACAGTGTCATTTGGCTAGTACTACTACAATGGGACATGAT